CTCTGAATATTATTGCAGCCTTTTGGATCAGCTGGATGAAAAAATTTGTTAGAAAAGACTTGGTTTGCAGCACAAAAAATTATTTTTCATCAAGACAATGCACCTGCTCATAAAGATGTTTTAACAATGACAAAATTCAAAGTAATAAAGTAGACGACTACTACCTCTTCAGAAACCTGAAACAATTCCTTCGTGAAAAAGGTTTTTTGTCGAATAAAGAAGCTATTACAGCAGTAAACGGGTATTTTGCAGAGCTTCCGGAGAGACATTATATAAATTTATTGGACAATTGTTGAAATAAGTGTATTGAAGTTAAGGTTATATCAGTTAAAGGAGGTTATATTGAATAAGAAAATATATTTCGCACCAAGAACAGTATTTTTTCATATCGAGCGCAGCAACTTTTTAACCAACCTGTATATATATGGTGTATAATATACATTGTTTATTGTATAAATATATAAAATATTAGGATGGCGAAAACAAATATCGGTTAATCTGTGAAATATATTATTGAAATTCAGAGATAATTATCTTATAACGACTGTAACTGCGCTTGTGTCAAAAATAGATAATATCGGGTCAATACTTCCCCCGGCCCCCATACACATAATATAAAACTGTTTGAACTTCCGGTTGAATTTTAATTTGTTACTGTAATGCCAAAAACGGATAAAATTGGGTCCACAGCGGTCATTTAAGAATTCTTCACCTACGGTTGGTTTTATATCGTACATATCTGTTAATATGGCATTTGAGGTGAACATATAACACAGGATATACTTTAGTTTAATGCTGAAAATATATGAAATGGGTTCACAAATCATCCAAAATTTCCGTAAAGATATTAAAATATTCAAGAAAAATAAATTTAACAGCTGGAAGTTGCGGATAACACCCGCAAATACTTATATACATATTATTTATGTCTAGTTAATCTTATAATCACAAATTAATTCAACTTCATAGCGCTTGAATAAACACCTCGACAAAATGAGAGTAATTAATTTATATATTTAGTGAAAGTGCGACTGGTACTTAAATCAAATGACAAAATTATGCTAATGCTGATATACAAGTATGATGTGTATGATTAGAATTCATAGTATATATATATATACACATATGTATTTATACACATTCCCATAGTGAATGCAACACATTGCGATGACACTTCATTACTTTGCACACAGTCGAGCACTTAATGAACGGTGAGGTGCTAAGGAGCATTATATTAGGTTTTATTATACATTGGTACTTAATAAACGCCTACCAATTTAATTTGTACATTTTTATATTTATTTACTACTTTTGCATGGTAAGGACGTACATATGTACAATTCCACCGAATATGCTAAGTGCACTTATATACATGTATATAGGATTGATTTGAAAATGACATGGATCCGCTTACATAGAGTTAAATAATATATTTCTCTTCAATATGAATAATAATTGAGCTAGTTTTTTATAGATCAATTGTTTTCACTAACACTCAGTGTTTTAGAAATGCACACTTGTATTCATATTGCATATTTATGCCACTTTATTCACATAACATAATTTCCATTCCTGGTAGTTTATCGTTTGAAAAGTGTCACAAATGCCAAATAAACCACTATTGTATGCAGCAATTTTTTATTAATGTCAAAATGCAACGTAAAGCATATTTTTCATTTACAAATTCCATATTCTTAAATATATATAAATGTGTACTTATGTAAATGCGCGTGTATTTTCAAAAATATCACTCCAAGCGCGTGCGTTTTGTTGGAAATTGGGTCAGTGCTGCTAACATATGTATTTAGTTAAGCAAGTTTTGTAGTGATGAAGGTGAAAAACAGCATAAACTATTGGATGCAAAATTATGCAGGTGGCCACCACATACATAAGTTATATGCAGTTGATAGTTTTTTGCAGTTTCAATGTAAAAAAATTGCAATTTGGTTGCACTAATGAGCTAGTACACATAATATATATTTTTTAAATTAACTGTAAATTTGGTCATTTATTCATTTTGAAACTGCTGAAATTAAATGTAGGCATTACTGTTTTTACATATTTTTAGCAACAGAATTAATACAATAATACTGTAATTTGGATATATTTTAAGCATATACTTATTACTACCATATACATATTAATGTCTCAACATAATCATATACATATGTACCTACACATACAAACTTAATATTAATTACTGATGCTTATATTCATAAAAGAGAATATATATAAGTGTAATGACTTAACTGAAACATTGACAGACTGAATAAGCTTAAGTTTTCTTAACGTCACTCTTTAAGATTTTTACTAACATTTCAAGACATTTTGACACGACGTTCCAACAAATCCAAAATTACTTATAAAAGCATGCAGGTAAATATGTAAATATGTGTGGCTATGTATTCATTTAAGTGTTTTGTGTAAACTCTTTCTGACAAGCTGCCTCTTCAATCTGCTTATTTTGTTGTAATCCGCTGCATATTCCACTGTATTAACGTTGATTTCTTGGCAACGCGGTATATGCGCCGATTTAATGTCCAAAATTCATCACACGTTAATGTATATAAATACATAAGCTTATATAACTATATACCCTGTTCAACTAAAAACTGGCTGTAGTCTATAAACAGTGGTTCGAAAATCATTCTGTTAAGTCAAAAATAAAATGATTAGCTCTCGTTGCTAATATTATTACTTATTTCTCATAATTGAAAGGTTATAAATGTCGAATCTGCAGGTGTTTGGCTCTAGGGACTCTGGCACGGAACAACAATTTTCTTTATTCTTTTGTTTCTAAATTTAAATCCAAAAATTTTATAACTATAAATATAAATAACTTAATCTTTTTTTTTTGGCAAGAAAATAGAAATGTTTTTCGTTCGCTCCGTACTCTGAAAAATTGATTGATAGACACCTCTAAGGAAGGATCTCTAGGATCTATCAGATAGAAATTTTCTTATCTATATATATATAGTTGAATTATACAAGTATATATATAATAAATAAATATGTTAAATTAGGCCATTTTATTAACAAAAAAACTAAAAAATGCCAAAAAAACAAAAACGTTAACTTCGGTTGTGCCGAATAATACCTTTCACAAGTACAAAAGGTTCCATACAAGAACTTGATTTTGATCTATTGTTTTGTATGACAGCTATATGCTATAGTAGTCCGATCGGAACACCGCCGTCTTGGAACATACTCTATGCCAAATTTAGTGAAGATATCTCGTCAAATAGGGAAATTTTCCTTACAACGACTTGAATTTGATTTATTAGTTTGTATGATAGTTATACTTGTATGCTTTAGTAGTCCGATATCCGCGCTTTCGACATATGAGCAGCCTCTTCCGAAGAAAAGGACATGTGCAAAATTTCAGATTGATATCTCTAAAACTGAGGAACAAGTTTGCCTATATACAGACAGACAGATAGATATGGCTGAATCGACTCATTTCGTCATGCTGATTACATAGTATATATTTTAAAAGGTCTCTGTCAATGGGTATTACAAACTTCGAGGCATACTTAAGGGGGTATTCTAGTGTAGAATTTCAAAAATCGATTTTTTCATATTTTCAAAGTTTAACTATTAGAGATTTTTTCTACGAGAATATTTTTGAAAATTTAAATTATTTTCGGATATATAGACACTTTACTGACAAACTGGTTTGGCTGGGCTTAATCGAACAAAAGACTTTACGCGAAACTAAAAAGCGTTTTTCTCAGACTAGACTTTTTCAATACGATATCCATGATTTCAGAAGTTCAACAAGATTGATTTACTTGAAATTTTCAGAAAATCTTCGTTATAGACCCCTCTCGAGTATGAACTAGCCTCATCCCCAAATTTAAATTTTTACTTTTTTAAAAAAATACGAGAGCATAATTCTTTTCCGATGCTGTAATGTTTATCTTCTGAATATATATAAATATATTATTTAAGTCATTATATTTCTGTTTCGCATCGAATAATTTTTGGAAATAAAAATATTTAAGAAATGTTTGCATCACTGAAATCTTTTCAGCTCTGTGACGTATGTTACCAAACTTTAAATTCCATGACCGATTCCACAAGTATATCCATCAATTGTAGGCAGATTCCTTACTCCTATATATTATATACGTGTATTATATGATGCAACATTTAAGGATATATGTATGTATATACGACAACACATTTTAAGCATCATTCTTTTCTTGAACGTCTTCTCTTGCAAGATTTATGATTATATAAAATGCATTCAGACAAAAACTCAGCTTTCATTAAGTGCTTAATATTTCATGTTTTTGCCTGTCTTTTATGATATTGACATTTTGGCCGCAAGCCTGTCAATCGCGTGGCAATTGGACCCGTTGTTCAAGATGTGCAATAAGAGATAGGATTGTGTGCGTGTGATGAATGCATTTTATTCGAAATTTGTTTAAGGCAACTCGCTGTTGGTGGTATGTTTTAAAAAAGCGCTATCTTTGTGAAAATAAATCATCATATGTAGATGTGTGTGCCTGCATTCAGCGGTTGCTGCGGTTAATTTGCAACGCACGCAAAGCATAAATTGAATTAAGAGCGCATAAAAGTTGCTGAAAGTGTGCATAATATAAATGTATATATATACATATATATATATGAGTGGGTAAAAAATCGCACAAGTTTGTATATGAAATCAGAAATATTTGGTTATTTAATTAAATGAGCCTCGAAAAAGTAAAATAAAACAATCGGAGAGATATTTTATTTGGAACTGCATGAGCGCATTGATTAATATGCACAAAATCTGGTAAAATTACTATTCCAATATAATATAATACAATAATATAAATCCCAAAAGGGGAAGTGTTTTATTTATTTTGCTTAATAAAGTTGGGAGCACCCTATCTGCGGTGATAAATAGTATAATAATTAAAATAGTATATATATTAATAACTGTATAATTTGCATTACTTTTTTTAGCTGATATTAGATGTTGGTGATGATATACCATTGACTTGACTTACCTCTGGTATAAAGGAATTAAATCTAAATAGCCCAGGTTGCTAATGAATGTTCTATTTCGTAATTTAATGCTGTCCCCAAAGGTGCCAACTTATCAAGAGATGGTTTCATGGAAACAGTTATTAGTGGTGATATATATTGATCAAAAAGTTGCGAATCATTTACCTGGACTTAAGCCGCATATGAATTTTTTCTAGATAAAACTGTGACTGGCTGTGGTAAGGCTGGCTATTCAAACTTCACATAGAAAGCAAGGAAAGTCTTACCAAGTTAGTTAAGAAAGTACAAAATTCTCTTTTTGAGCTGTTCACTTGGACCAACGTGTCTGTTTTATTTTACTATTTTCCATAAAATATTCAAATAATAGCAAAACTGACATTAGTGTCAAATATTAAAATTCCATAAGCAGACTACTACTACCGTAATATTTTTCCACTCTATAAATTTATACAATATACACAAATATTTTTGTAAACAAATCAACATCCACGTGCACGACTTTTAATGTGCTCCATTTCGCTTGCAAACAAAGGGTAAATAATCCAGCGTAACATTGACCATAACAGTTACCTGGTTTAAATAAAAAAACAATCAATTAATTAAGACATGTTAACGCGCAGACTAAAATGTCAACTGGTCGGCCCACAAATTTGCATTTTTGATTGAGCTATAAAATTTTTTACGATTCTTTGGGCACCGAAATGGGTTTCGTTCTTTTGCAATTCGCTTCAAAATCGAATAATCTTTATGGTGTGCCTTTAATCTTATCAAAAACATGCACCAACTGATACGTCTAATTGTTGTTGGAATAAAGAGCACATGTTTCCTGGTTTTTTTAATACAGTTGAATTCTTTTATAAGTCAAATTAAACCTTAGATTCATTAAAATATTCAATTAATGCAAAGCATTATTTGTCCTATTAAATTATAGTATATATTGCAGACTGCATATATATATGAATCCCAACCGATAAATCATTATGCGGCGTCAACGAGCTATTATTCATCATTAAATTATGGCTTAGAAAAACTAAAAATTATCATTGCAATTAGTTGTATAAAACTAGTCACAAATTAATCATCACACATACAAACTAAAATACAACCATGCGCGCTAGCCATTTATCACAAGCGAGATCTATTAAAATCAACGCAATCGACAACCACTAATTCAATTTGCAATTTCCATTAAATGTTTCGCTATTGACTAGCAGCTGAAAGACAAGCACTCTTTGAATGATATACACTATATAGTATATACATATATGTTTCTATGTTTGTACATGTGCTCATGAATAGGCGAGCAAGATTTTCAATTGAGCTTTGCTAAAAATGCAAATAATCCTGTTTTTCCTAGTTGACAGCTGAATGGAATTTTTTGGTAAATTTTAATTGAATAAACGTGAAAAACTGACGAGAATGCACTATAAAAATCGAAATAATTAGGGGTGAATGCAAATTGATATGGTTTATTTTTGTAGTGTTCAATTGAATGGTACCCAGTTTTTAAATTGTCTTACGGCTCTGTTCTCAAATACTCACATTTATCGCGTCATCATTTAAGGTTAATTTGTTGAGTGAGAAATTAGATTTCATGGTTATAAAGGATCATTTAGCACATAAAAGAAAACTGATACACACATTTTAAGGTTATTTCAATGAAATCCTGAAATTAATATTATCATAGATGGCATGAAATAAAGCTCTTACATTTCTTTCAAAACCTAATCCCACGTTTTGGTGCGGCAAGATTACCAAATCTCAGAAACAACTGTCGCACAAAAACTACTCTTAGTAGTCCACAGATTTCTAGTGAAAAAATATTAGTACTTCCAAACAAAATATGGCAGAAGTAAGATATTTTATTAAATTATTAAATAATTCGTGATTCCAGCGCTTCGGTTATGCTGTAACAGACGAATAGAAGAAACAGCTGCTCTGTAAGAAGACATTTTGGCTTACCTGTTTATTTAATATAATATTGAGTTCAAGCTAAAGTCAATGTTATAATACACGGGATTTTATTTCTTAATATGTGCTACATCAGCTTATCCACAAGTTGTTGGTTCTATTAAAAATTTCACAAAATAAATACCCTTTGGATCAAATTTTGTAAATTGCTTATGAGTCTGTTGCGAAAGTTGTTCCATTCTAATTACATGGAAATCTCAAGTGAAGGGTTGATATATTAGGCAAACATATGTACAATTCGTTAACCTGTAGGTGTGGCGCCGTCCTATTTTATTGATACCTCGAAAATATATTAAAACATTTTAACCAAATTTGTGATCCTCTTGATAAAGTCAGATTACAGCCATTATTATCTCGAGTACTCCACTTTGAATACCATCATCTTCTTTGGGATTACAATAGATGAATGAAAAGTTAGTAAGTACCATTCCGCCCATACATATATCTTAACTTGATGAATTCCATATCTTCAGTACCCTATAAATCGGAAAATCTGCAAGATATTAAAAATAAACTATTCTTTATACAGCTACTACAAAACGGTGTTGTTTCGAAATTTATACGACCAAAATCAATCATATTGTTTAATCTTTTTAATAACAATAAGTGTGTAGAATTTCCTCGGCATAAAGTGGTTTGGTGCTAGAAAATGGTTAAAACCGGTTTATACTGTCTCTTAGATACCATTCGTTTTCGTATAGGTACATCGGTAACTTAGCATATTAGAATGAATATATTTCGCCTAGCATAGTGCTAATTGGCTCCAAAAATGGCGTAGCCTAGTTATCATTCAATAAAAAATCAAATATTGAATACGGCGTACTTATATCAGTTGACTTTGCATTAAGTGACTTATACTTTTTTGATGGGTATGATGGGTAAAAAATATCACCTAATTTTTCTTGGAAATGTGTGAAGTATATTTTAAACGCCTTACACTTCCAAATTTGAGAGCGATTAAATTATGTTATTCAAAACAAGAAAAAACGTTAACTTCGGTTGCACCGAAGCTATAATACCCTTCACAAATACAAAAGATTCCTTACAAGAACTTGATTTTGGTCAGTCAGCTGTATGCCATAGTAATCCGACCTAAATAATTTATTAGCAGATTGTACTATTGCCTTAAACAATAACCCATGCTAATTTTTATAATATATTTTATTTCATAGCGCCTTCGACGTTTTCTTCTGGATGTTACATACTTTATGGCAAGCTTCTGTCAGGGTATAAATATCAGACACATAAATGCAAGCATATAATAAATGGTTCAGCTAAAGCCACTAGTGCCGTTAGGTGTGCCATGAAAATTCAATAAATCTACGACAATTATATTTCAAGTGAAAAAAGAGAAAAATGCATCTTCTAAAAAGTTGCCAAACTAAAACGGGTTGATGCAAAATTGATTACTTCAATATTTGTTTACTCGTTATTTATGTATTTAACATATTTATTGTTTGTTTTGGCAAATAAACGTCGCGGTTACTTTTGTAGTGCGCCATATCAAATCTTTTACCCCTGCCTGCTTGCCGTAAGTGAGCAGCTGTCAGGCTGGCATGGCGACGACAGTCGAGTTCCCCATCGCGCTTATCTTGTTAACGATAACGACTATGTGGCTCAAAAAGCACAGCATGGCTGTAAGCGCGAGTCATTTGCACCGTCAACCTGTGAGTACACACATACACAGTACATGTGCATGTTTGTCTGTCAGTGTTGCTGCCTGCTGGGCTGGAGTAGGAAAATGAAGTCAGGCTCTGTGAGTTTTGACTGATGGCGCAGCTGTTGTAGGTGTGTCACAGTCAGCGACGCATTTGTCGCGTAAATGGAAATGCAAATGTGGAGCTTGTGCGTGCTTGGCTGACACACACACACACACACACACACCTGTTCATACTTCAAGTAGAGTGTAAGTCAGCGGGTCTCATAGCCTCAGGTGCCGGTAGCAATTTGGGCTGTGCCAGTAACGCCGCTATATCTGCATGCATAAGTAATCTGTGTATGAGCTTGAGTGCGTTGATCGCATTTCCTCACTTATTTATATGAGGCTAACACACATGCATATTTGTGCACATATAAATATTGCAGAACTTCTGTGTGTCACCCGGTCGTTTGCCAGGCCTATTGACTTGCTCCCCTATTTTTATGCGGCACGAAATTCCATGTTTTCCCCCTTATTTTCTTATTTGCACCTGTGTAATTTTCATTACGCTTAGGCGGGTTAGCGCGTCTTGTCTTTGTCGGCCGACTTTCGGCACGTGCTGCTGCAGCACCAGCACAGACAGCGGCAGCGGCAACATTTGTGCGTCTTCATTGTCTCTCGCAAGCAACCAGTTCAGCAGCCAGCATGCCTCCAGCTCATCTGCGGTTAATGCTCATTGCATATCTCATGAATAATAATAAAGTTATATTACTTTATGAGTATGTAAGCGTCTTTGGCTTTCCCGTGTACTCGCATGCAAAAACAAACAACAACAACATAAAGGTAAACGCTTGCCCTGTATGTGATGTGTTTTTGTTTTGACTTCTGCTGGGACTTGCTCGGTTTTTTTCTTGGTGTTTATTGTTTTTGTGGCACACCGCAGGGGCACGCACGCATTACTCAAGTACGGGAATTGAACGTTTCGCATTTTCTGGGGTCTAAATGCTTTATATTTTGGCTATGGCTTGAGGACTTTTGATTTTTTTGTTTAATGTTGATAAGTAAATTTTCTTAATAACTACTTCTGGATATATAAAATTAACTAAGTAAATAATTTCATTCAAACACGGACGACAACTAAATTTTGACGTTTACATAAATTGTTGTTGTTGATTGTCAATGAAAATAAATTTTCCGGGGTTGAGAAATGTATGTATGAAATTCTTTCCGCCTAATTCAAATCAAACATCTCATATTGTTAGAAACTATAAGCATTTATAGAGTGAAAAAAATTTTTCGAGGTTGTAGATATTATGAAAATGAGCGCCGAAAGTCAATGATCGTTATTAAAAAAAATTGTAAGTCTTTGACGGCCATTTTTGTTACTACAACGTATTGAACTCGCAACATACATATTTTGTTGTATTAACTTATCTTAGTTATTACCTGAGACATCAGCTTTAAAATCAGACGAAAGCATGAAAATCATAAGAGGCGATATAAGGAAATCTAGCGAAAAGTAAGAATCGAATTGGAAATTTTTTGGTGATAAATTATTATATTATACACTAAGTTTAACCAATCCACATAGTGTAATATAATATATATTATATCACATAGACAGTCTAAGGGATGTTATGAACCGATTTCATTTATTTTTGGTACCATATCACATGATATCCAAGGTAATACAATTTTTTATGAGTGTATGTGAGATGTCTTGAATCATGTAATTTACACGGCGTAAAGTCAATTGGTGGACTTGTTCTCCAAAAAAAGGCGAGGAGATGGCATGGTCT